TATGATTAAGTATTCATACTTATTTCCCATTCATATACTATAGCTTCATAAGCGTGCAACGAATTACCCCGCGGCAAATAACCATCGATGGAGACACTGGGCCGTTCAGTATTGCAATAACTGTTATAACTATGGAACGAACATAGAGAATCCAGTGATGGAAAGGTTAGCACATAAGATTATTGTTCAAATCATCTTTCAAATCTATCAGAGTAGTTCCCCCATGGAGAAAATAGCTGTAAATAATTTGTAAAATTTATTTTCGTTTGTTTGTATAACGAAAGGCGAATGATTCGCCGAATATTCGCACGGCTAGCTTGGGTCATCTTCAAAGCTTTCCGAAGAATGTACAGATCGGCGACGAACAGCAAAATAATAAGAAATAACTCAGTCAAGCTTTCATCGTGTTTTGACCCCTAAAATTTAGACAAATTGTAATCAAAATCTAGAAAATTTATCGCTCTTTTTGAATGTTGCGGTAACATTACGGTATGGGCATGCTTTAAGGAGTACGGATGCGTTGTTAGAACGTCTTGTGTACGCAAACTTGATTCAGAAAATCGAATTTCAACCCCTTTAGTTATTCATACTTTTCCAAAATTAATGCAATTTTCCTAAAGGTTTTACACGATAATAATCGACATGTTAGAKTCGATTCTGCATAAATGAGCAAAAAGGCTCAAATCAGTTGCTATTTTATAGTGCGAATAAACCAAAAAATTGAAAATTGAAATTCATATGCCTTTTTTCTCAGGTTTGCACAACCTGGCTTGTATGGTGGTAATATGTATCCTAGACCGATTACACGTGATGGCGTTCGGGATGCTGCTGTTCGTGACGGCTTGGTCCTACAGGCTCCTGGTGGTGGTGGAGCAATCCCCGCACCTCCTCTAAACTCAAACCTTGTTGCACTTGTTGTTGCCCCAGGTAATTAATCATTGGAAAAAATCGCGCGCTTTAAAGCTTGTAAATTTGACGTAAGTATGATATAAGTGTCCAAAATTCTGTAAMTTCGATGTAAATGATTTCCATTAAATTTACAGAATTTTGGACACTTACATAATATTTACATCAAATTTACAACATTTAAAGCGCGCAATTTTTTCCAGTGAATGCTTGTTAARTTTTTTATGGATTTTCATTCCAAATTTAAAGTTTTTTTCTAGTGGTAGTTTAGGACCGTAGCCTGCTTTTCAAATGGGGTTCTTTTTTTCATAACGCAGCGGACCTAAATTCTATAAAAAATGCTTAACTAAATTAGTTTAATGTGCAGTATTAAGGTATTTCGATCGTAATAAATAGCGTTTCGCGCGTATTTTAAAACTCCAACTACGTCGAAAATTTCGATTCAATTGCACTCAAACATGTCAAACTTTCACAGAACTCACAGTGATTATCAATAATTCTACTACATAATTTTCCTTTCTTGTCCGCTCTTGAAATAGATCAACAAGGACCAATCGGGTGCCGTGTAATATGTGCGCGCGTTGTGATTGGTTGTCTAAAAATAGATTATCGGGACATCTGATGGTGGCGATATTATTGGGGAGATGCCGGACACTTCTGGTTATGTACTTCTGATAATTTCGAGTTGTTCGAATGTACATCATTTTGTTCAAACAAGAATTATCAACAAGAATTATCGATAGTTATTGTTACTTCTGTGGAAATTAGAGTGCAATCGAATCGAAATTTGCGACATTGTTGGAGTTTAAAAATGCGAAACGCTATTTTTTACGATCGAAACACCTTAATACAGTGTACATACCTTTGAAACTTGTGGGAAGAGGGGGCATAACACACTGTCATGTCATTGTATTGCTATTCAGCAAATCTATTTGGAATAATCAACCGGAATACTCAATCTTTAAAAAAACCCTGAGTCATGCACGTCGATATTTCTACGGTCTTTTGTTCCCGTGTTTCCACGTCACAAAACGTCATGATTTTATGGTAATACTCAGAGCCATCCAAGACACACAGCTTTGTATCAGGGTAGGGGAACAAGCGACACATCTATTTTGCGGACAATTTGTTCCAGTGAATGTCAGATTGATTCCATCGTCGTTTTCCTTATCATGATTAATAATTATAATAATTATCATTATAATAATTATCTTTATTGTCGAAGATACTACAGCTGCGGCGCGTGATGGTGACTTTCACTGGTATCGACTGGACTCTGACAATACGTGGTCTCACAAACCTGGATCAACACCTGTTACCAACGTTGACGGCTGGGATGATCCCATCGCTGACCCAAGACGTGCGCTTAACAACCCTTTTGGTCCACAATATCAGTTTGTTACTTTCATGAGTGTCAACCCAACGGCACCGACCGTACACATTTTGGGATCGGTTAACGTGATTTGTTTGATGGTGCCATGAGGCTGAGTTATAATTAGTTAAAAGGAAATAAATAAATAACGAGCATGCGAAAAAAAAWTTGGAGGTGTTTAATTATATAACAAATAGATGACTGTAGGTCGGTCTATTCAAATAGATGGTCGTTACTTCATCAACCTAAAGTTTCATTTACTTAGGCGAGCTTTAGGCTCACCGAGTCATTATAAAGACTGATGAAAAAGCGTTGCAGTTTATAAAACAACAACAGTCTTGATAATGGCTCGGTGAGCCGAAACTGCTAAAAAGTAAATAAAATTCTGAAGTTGAAGTAACGTTTAAATCATTGTGTTTTTAATTATGTCTGAGATGAAGATTCTCTTTCACTCTCATTAAATCTGGATCATCAAACCTCGAGTAAAACGATTGTTTAAAGTTATACTTCCAGAAGCAAAAATCATTGACTCAAGCCTTGATAAACTTTTATGTTACTGAACAAGAGATTCATAAATTTTRACAAGRCCGTTTGAATTTAGACCATGGGGTTTCAAATATGTATTGAAACATGAAATTCAGTAAAAAATATCACGTGTCAAGRGGAGATAGGAATTGAAGCTTGGACTATGTCCTCGGAACTGAATGTCCGTCGCGAGCAATCTTCACTAAGCTGTAATCGGATCTTCTGTCATGTTCCATATGAGTCTTCTCACTGCAGAAACATAACTGTTTATCTAAGAACCATCTGCAAACACAAATTGGATGGGTTCTGCTTTGCAGTTTMCCGATTTCAAGATTTTGCGCAAATATGGATATAAGCTTTGGCCTTTCGAAGTTTATTGGATATAAACAAGCCACCTATCACCAGTAGATACWGTGCTCTTGGCTGAATTGTATTGGTCGTCACAGCTAAATTGATTGATTGACTTCCCAGTTCCATTTGTCGACCCTTAGTCTATCAGCWTCTTTTCCCCAATTTCCACAATTCTGGGACAACACTGAATTATCGTCTGAAAGCTTATCAAATGATCCACAGGCGGTACGGGTACRGTATGTCTTGCTGCTGTCTGTGAAGTACTCAAACACCTTGGTCCCTGATATTAGAAAGACCATAACACTATGGATCGGATTAAAGACTCGTGCTCATGGCAACAGTCTCCTTCCGATATCTTGAAACTTCTTTCACACATTCGACCATGCACATGTTTGTGCACCAAGTTACCGACTGCCTCGCGCGCTAACATGCATCATCTAGTAGGCACTAGTAAAAATATCAATTTTACAAAATGGAGAAATATAGGTTATATAGATAATATATGATAAAATCTTTCTTTCGTGGTTAGATTAAAATCACTTTAAGGACCCACTTCTATCATTTGCGATCTTTTCCGGCCGTTGTTTAGAATATATGTTGATGTAAACTTTTTGATTGGTTTAAAATCAAAAGTTCTTGGATGCTCATAGAATCTGAATTGCGTAATCAACCCCACGTACTTTCTGTATTTGTCTTATTCATGACGTGGAATATCCTGCCTCCGTCGCTTTTTCATGTAGTTTTCTCAGTGCTGTGATTGACAGGTCTAACTGGCTGTGTTTGCAGATATCGCGGTAATCGTTGGATTTGGTAAGGGCAATAGATGGAACTGGCGAAGTGAATTTCATGGGCTAAGGATTCTGGACTGGTTGCTAGCTCAGTTATTTTCTTGTTCGCTTTCTTCTTCCTCCTCCACACTGTCACTTTCTTGAATTTCAGACGAGTCACTGGTTTGACTGTCGCTTTCTTCTTGTTGCCCAGCAACGAGGTCTGCTAGTGCTCGTTTGTTTCCAGTAGGTTTTTTGTCAATTCCAACTTCCACAAGTCCTTTGATGGACGTGTTCAGGCCTCTTGGTACTTTGATATCGGGGCTGTATGGTATACAGCATACTCAATGAGCTATGTTAGTGACAGGAATTCTTCTTTGGTGATACATCATTTCACCATGACTATTCCATGCAGTACGATATATTTTTGGAGGAGTCTAAAGTATGAAGAAAATCAAGAACTTCTTTTGGGGTATTTTCAGAAGCAATATATTGCAAAATGTCTTCCTCAAAAATATCGTCATCCTCAAAAATGTCACTGGCAGTAGTGTTTGAAGCAACGCTCTCTTCAGAATTGCTTCATGATGCTCCTTGTGAGTGCTAAACTTGAAATGATTTTTCTCCTTTATTGCTGAATTTTTTAAACCAAAACCATGCCCAAGCCTGACATTAGAGGGGAAACCACATCAAAAACATAACCACCTCCTTGTTGAGTAATGATTTCGTTCTTATTCTTKAAAGAAATTGCTGAGTCAGCTAAATTTCGAATTTCTTCCACATGCTCTCTTTCTGCCATCTTTTTGATCATAGGAAATGTGTATTGTGTCCTTCAAGCGATTCGAGCAGACCTCACAGATGGCATGAACTTGTTCTGGAGTTGCGGTGGTCAGTAAAAGGCTCCTCCAAACTGTTTACAGATTAATTTGCTCGTRTTGTCTGTCAGGATGGTTGCTTGCAATTAAATAAAACCAGACAAAACCGCAACATTTATATCTTCTTCGTCCATAACCAAAGGCAGACTAAACTATTTTATAGTATAGATTCTACCTAGATATTCTAGTATAGATTCTAGGTTCTAGTATAGGTTCTACTATAGATTCTAGAAGAATAGATKTCTAGAAAAGATTCTATTCAGTTCTCACTGGAAAATCTCAGTCTTTTA